TGGGGCTAGAGGGCCCCCAGAGCCTGCCCTGAGCAGGGGTGAGGTGGGGCGGTGGGATCTGGGCCGGGGCTGACTCTGCTCTCTCCCAGCTGCTGGAGATGAAGTCGACGGATCGCAAGCAAACGCTGCTCCATTACCTGGTGCGGGTGATCATGGAGAAGTACCCGGAGCTGACCGGCTTCCACACGGAGCTGCACTTCCTGGACAAGGCGGGCACAGGTAGCCCCCCCCCGGGCACTGGGCTGGGGGGGTCACGGCAAGCTGCAGCCCCAGGGCGAAGGCTCTCTGAGCTTGCCCTGACTCCGGTGCTGCTCGCCCTCCCCGCAGTCTCCCTGGACAGCGTGTTGCAGGACGTGCGGAGCCTGCAGCAGGGGATGGAGCTGACCCGTAAGGAGTTCATGCGGCAGGACGACAGCCTCGCGCTCAAGGACTTCCTCAAGGTCAACTTGGAGGTGATGGAGAAGCTGCAGGCTGACAGCAAAACTGCCAAGGTGGGTGCAGGGTGGTAGGATAGGATTGGGCCCGCTCATTCCTTTGTGGGGACACCCTGGGGTGCCCCTGCTCACACCTCTGCCCCATGGGAGAGGATCCCGGTTGGGACATGGCTCCAGCAGGAAAGCTGGGAGTGGGACACAGAAGGGGACGGCAAGGTGGGAGAGGCTGGAAGGAGGCGGCGGTGGGCGATGGGGTACGGCTGCCCAACCCCAGCCCCCTCGATCGGGGTGTCTCTGCCCGCAGGAGGCGTATGAATCGGCTGTGGAGTATTTTGGGGAGAACCCCAAGACCAGTCCCCCCACCACCTTCTTCCCCATGTTCATGCGCTTCATCAGAGCCTACAAGGTAGGAGGGGATGGGGGCAGGGGCCCTGTTTTGGGGAGCTGGGAGGGGATTTGGGGTTGAGGGGGGTCCCGATCTCGCTTCGGAGTAACCAGCAAAAACCACGCGCGAGGCTGGGGGCTTGCGGGGCAGAGGGACCTTGGGGTTCGGTGCTGCCCTTCAGGGTGGT